CCAAACTGAAATCCGATTATCACCTTTTGAGAACTCAGCTTTCAGAAGGACAGAGTCCCTTATGGACAAATGGAGACTCTTCATTCTATCTTGAGAAATCTCAAACATTTTAATTTAAAGAGAATTAAACGTTCAGAGCAAAATTATTATATTGATGGGATTTCCCATTTTGCATAAGAGGCATATATCAGTTTTTGCATCTAAGCTCGTCATATGATCATCGATGATCCTCTGCAAATGCGAGGGTAACGCACTGGGCCTGTTTCACCACACTCTATGTCATCTGTGATGCCTTGGTTGTGTTCTTTGATCAGGACCAGGGACATGATCCGTGAAGAGGGAGGCCTTCTTACCCTCTGTGATTTGCTGTGGGACACCATGGACAGTCCGACCGTGCACCTCTTGGTCCAAGCTCTGGCCTCGCTAAGCTGCAACAACCCACGGAACCTGGAGGTAATGGCTGACCTAGCGCTGATGGACTGTGTGGAAGGGTAAGGCTCTGGGACTCTGACTGTTGGGGAAGATCCCGACGTCATTTTGTTTTTCAATGATGGGCTTTGCCCCTACACCGATGTGTATTTCTAACACTATATGCACAGTGTTTGCAAAAGTGACTTCGCACAGCTTGCAAAAATAACTTCACAAGCTAACTTGGGTGCGACGTACTCGAAGCCCCGACTTCTTGCTTACTAGTGCAGGCGTCTCAACCATTGTACCTCCAGGTTTGCCAGGGTTAGCTAGCTGATCCAAGTTGGATGTATCAGCGGTTACCACAAAAGTACATGTATTTCCAAAGATGAACTTGCTTTGAAAATAAATAACACTTGCGTTCTTGCATTCTGTTCAATGTATTTTCTTTTCCTTCCGTATTTCATCATTTGGGTATAGTCTTCCATGGAAATCTAATTGTGAAATGAATTCAAGTTTTCCTGGAGTCATTCCATGAATATTGCAGTATAGTTACACTGGTTCTTTCTACTAAATTGGAACTCTTAATAGATGGGTCGGGAACTGTTACATAGCGCTGGAGCTGCAGTGGTACATGTCCATAGTTGGAAATATAAAATGTGTCATGCAAGTGCAGTTGAAAATATTTGAAATATCAAAATATTGAACAAGTATTTCCACATGTGAGGTCACAAAACTGATCTGTCTGTCTGCTTCAGTTTTGATTTTTTTAAGGTAAAAATTCTTGCATTTGTTGTGTTAGAACAAAGCAAGTTTTTTTTGCATCAGAGTTACCCATGTTGCACGCATATACTTGGCGGCCAGTCTACATGGCCCTTGCACTCATATTGTACATTAAGGTCTGGTGAATTTCCAAAAAATTTAAGTTTTAAGTTCTGAATAGGCTAGAATGATGTTCAGGCGATATTTAAGCCCTACCATATTGAAAAAAAATTCCAAACAACTTCACCCAACCTACAACTGGATTGAAATTCCCCCAAAGTGCCGAGTCAGGGTGAACCAGCTTATTTTTTAAAAGGTTTTTCAGCTCTTAACTAGTTTTTTCCCTTGGAATTTCTCTGGTTTTTCTTTGATTTTTAAAACAAAGTAAGCTTTAAATTAAACCCCCCACATCCTGTGTGCAAAGCTCAAAGCTGCTCCTTCAATTTTTTTTCTTAATTGTCCACTAAATGACTGTGATCCTGTCGTTTGACCATCAGAGAGAGTATGCCGTGTAACATGCGTACATGTTTGCCTTTGCAATGGTCTACTTTAGGAACATATCAAGGTGATAGAGGGCACCTACCCGCCATCCAGCATTGACATTGAGGCCGTCTGCAGCCTTTATTTTGCTCTGTGTTAAGTTATTTGAAAGTAGGAACTTGTAGATTGCCTAATATATACTCTACGTCCCGAATTTTTGGTAACATGCTGCAAGTGATGTCCATCAGGCTCTGCAACGATCGCAGTGATCTTCTGTGACTGACCTTGATTGGGCAGATTTTGTTACCAACCTTATTTTGAGAAAGAGTTGCATTTCTTTTGCTGTCAGAGTAAAAATTGCCGATCTTCTCCTTCCAATCAGACTTTCACCATCGGAGATGTTTCCTTTCCCTTGCCAGTTTGTGGTGATCAATTATTGCCATCTTGCCATCTTTGGGTACAATGTTGAAATCAGTGAGTGTTGCAGTAAGTTTGCAGCAGCTGCTCAGGCTCTGTGACTGAGTCCATACCCGTCACAAACTTGGGCTAGTTTGGTGTGTATTTGCTGTATGTTCACACAATGGTGGGGCTCATATTTGATATTAACGGCGTGCTTGCTGCTCTTTGTCTCAATCGTTTTGCTCCTTGGTGAGGATGAAAAGCCTGTTTGATATGACGTACGTGTAGATGAGATGCTCCCTGGTTCCCTTTTGGGATTGTTTCGCCAGTTATTATCTAGTCTTGTAATTTTCTCCCTTCATTCCTCTTTGTTTCTGTCCAACAAAAACTTTCCCCAGAACCTTGTTTTTGCGACAATCCTAGTTTAAATGGCCCCAATTGCAGTCTGTTTTACAGCTCTCTCTGTGATGGATTGTGATACAGTTATCTCTGTAATCTGGAAGATGGAAAGCTCTACGTTTACAAGTGCAGATATCCAATAAAGGCTGGGCCCATACTCCTTGAATCTCTTAATTTTGGACCTAACAGCATCGGGTGTATGACTGCATTTTACTCCCCTGTTTGTACAATGTTCTTTGCAAGTGCATCTTCATTGGATGTTTTCATAGCAGCACACTGCCCGATCGCGATCTCTTCAGTTGCCTCTTGAGTACAAATCTCACTCATCACAGAGTTTATCTGTCGGGAACGTTTCACTTCACCAGAGCTCAGTTCTTGTTTATTTGAACTCAGTACTCTAGTCTATGAAAGAACAAGAGAGTTTGTAGCATATCTGGTTCTCTTCAAATGGAACCATCATGATGAGCACAACCAGTAATAGTTACTTTTGCAATCTATTCAGTTTCTAAAGAGCACATGTGTAGATTGCATGTACCTATATGCTCTTGTGCAGCCTTGAATATAATGCTAAAGGCCATATGCCCAGGCTATTGACGACAACACATCTGAATCAACCTTATTAGGATCCTTTGGAATTGTTTATTCGAAGGAGGGACAGTACATGCACAAAACTACCCAAAACACCACATCTGTATATTGACCCAGCTCTTTAGAAATCAAGCCTGGGGACCTAAATCTATGCACATTTTATACCTCAACTAGTAAATGACAGATAAGATTGCTTATATACCAACACATGAGGAAAGCATACCGTGTGACCAGAATACAATAATGTGCAATTCACCATGACTCGGCACTTTATGAGATAAATTTTAATCCATTTATAGGTTGGACAAATTTTTTTAAATTGTTAAATTTTTTTTCAATGTCGTAGGTCCTCAATATTGCCAGAACATCATTTTAGCCCATTTAAAACTTAAAGTTCCAACATTTTTGAAATTCACTACACCTTTAATTGTACATGTACCCGTGAAAGATCCTGACCGAACCGTTTGCCATAGTTCATTTAAGAGTAGGATTTTCCCTAACTCTTTAGCCATGATCATCAGTCCTGCATGTATTTCTTTTGTATTCAAAGCAAATTTGCAATTTTCAGTATAAGCGTACAAAAACTTTGGGAGCTACATGTATTAAGGGGCACAATTAGTGTGCCTGATCGTTTGGTATAAAGATGTTCAGCATAGCAGTGTGCTCGATATGCGTAAAATCAAATGTAGTTTTAAGGACTAGCATTTTATGCAAAGTTCTTTGCAAGCATGAAATTTAGTTTAAAACACAAGTTGTTTCAAGTTGGTCTTTATATCTACAACTGTTGCATTTGCAGTAGCATTACTAAACTACGGACATAAAAATTGAAAAGCTTCTTGCTCATGAGCATTGTATGCTGTTCTCTTGCAAAGTTCGAGTGTGGAGGTCATCGACTTAAGAGTTCAGCAGATAGTCTTTGCCTTTGAAATTAGGAAACTGGACCAGGCATGTGTGTTTGCTCCTCTCCGTTATGAAAGGCAATCTGCTTAGTGATCACATCGGTATTACCTGAATCCCAATTCTGTTACCACCTTGTGCTGTGGAGCGACAACTGAAAGCCATCTTCAGGCCTTCCTGGAACCGCTTGTACTTGAACTCGTAGATGAGAGGGTTGACGACAGAATTGAAGTAGAAAAAAAAGTTGCCAATCTCCCTCAGGATCTGGTACTCAGTAGAACCACAGAGGGCAGGCAGGTGTTCGTGTGGACCTGCAGAATACAGGCAGATGATAGCCACGATGTAGGCTGGGGTCAGAAGAAGTATCAGAGCTCCTAAGACCACGGTCAGCATGCTGGCAAGGCGCTGCCCAGCAATTAAGAGATCGTTGGCTGCTGCCCTGGCATACTGCCTGGTCAGAGCTTGTGCTTGGCGTTTCAGGGTGACTTGTATCTTAAAGTACGCCCAGACCATCAATCCTACAGGCAGCAGGTAGGCCATCAGAAACGTGAAAACAGCTGTGGAAATTGCAAGCACCTTGTCGGAATTGATCACCGGCCTGCAAATCTCACCGGACTCCTCGCTGGCCCTGCTCCTGAACAGAAACGGTACCGGGAGCAGCACAGACAGCGCCCACGTCAGAAGGATGCAGAGCGCGACTTTCACCGGGGTGACTTTGGCTGTGTACCTCAGGGGCTGCACTATGGCGACGTAGCGCTCCCAAGTCACTATGCACAGGCTCAGGCATGCCAGATTGGAGCAGGCCCAGCTGGCGAACCGGCTCTCCAGTAGCCGGCAGAAGAGTTCCCTCCTCCAGCCGCTGGCGGGGACGTAGTCGATCAGCGCACAGCTGGGCAGAGCCAACAGGTAAAACACAATGCACTGCATGCATGATATCATGTCCGCCACAGCCAGATGCACCATCAGATAATTGGTCATGTTGTGTAGGATTTTGACGCGTACAATTACAAAGCACACCAAGAGGTTTCCTAAGACACCAGTGACTCCTTCTGCTGTCATAAGTGGACATACCCACCTGATGTGAGTGGGATCCACGTGGTCAGTATCGGTCATCTCTGTAACATTTTCCGTCTCCATAGTGTTGGCTGTTAATGTACATGTTCCGAGTCCCGTCAAAGAAGATTGACATGTCACATCTACATTTGCCACCTGTGTTCCTTATGCCAAAACTTGCATCTTGTCCACTTGTGAATACAGCAGGCCACATTCAGGTTAGCGTAAAGTGAAAGCAAGCTAGTATTTGGCATACTAATCCCAGTCTTTACTTTGTATTGTCATTTTTTTAATTATCAGTACAATTTTTCAAAATGTGCCAAGGGGGTTGTTTGTTTGCTCCGGCAATTTACGATCAGTCACATGTTCAAGCTCAACGATCTCAACTTTAGGGAAACAGAAGTCCATTTGCTCATCTCCAAACCAACGTCATGCACAAGGAATTTTGACTGGAATCCACTGGCAGCTGGAAGGGATCAGCAGTCGCCGTCACAGTCATTCCCTGTAGTTTCTGCATCCCAGATGGCAGTTGATCCTTAAGAACTGGCGAACCGGTGCCGCACTGAGAGTAGATGCAGCCCCTCTCCTTCCTCACGGAGATCATTCTGCATCAAAGTGCTCTCTGCCTTAGCTTATCTGACAACGCCCCAGTAGACTTTATTTCCCATCCACTCACCCATTCCCTCAACCAGCAAGTCATCCGTCAGTCTGCTGACAGCCCAATTCCGTTTCGGTTATCTCCGTTCTCCAACCATGTACGGCCAACTCGAGTATTTTGTAACAAAACCTTCTGCAATCAACCAACCCACTCAATCCAGATGATTAAATACGCATAGACTTTGAACTGACTCCCCTCCTATGCATTCTCTCTCTCGCTCTCTTAATTAAGATTAATTCACTGATTTTTTTTGGGGGGGGACAGATTGGTCTTGATTTTTTGGAAACCGCATGATGTCCTCCAAGGGTTTATTGCAGTCAAACATATTGCTGCAAAGCCTCTGTCCTGTCGGAGGGTTCACTACCACCCACTAGACTTGTTAGTTTACTTCGTACTTTATCTGTGGGTTATTCCAGAAATTAGGGGTTCATTTTTTTTGTGTGTCCCTGTCATATCTGAAATATGATTTTATAAGTTCAGAACACATTTCCTAATTTCCAAGAGTGATGAATTCATGCAAATTACCTGCCAAACAAATACTAATAGTTTGAAATCAATTCTGGTAATATTTCCATGTCAAATAGCAAAGGTCAGATGTAACAGGGACACAAAAATGTCACACTTTTGGACCCCTAATTTCAGGAATTAACCCCTATTTATGTTTTACTGTACATATGCATAGAGTGTAGCACTATTTTAACTGAGTTTCAGTTTTTCTGTGTCTTGTTTACTATTTACTTCAGTTCAAGTGGAAGTAAGCATCGAAAACGAACATCTCTAATCTGTGAAGTTTATCTGTAGAAAAATAAACAAAACAACTACGCCCCCTAATATGTTTATTTTTGCCAGACTGTTTGATGATTGAATGCAGATGTTTACTACCAAAGCAGATCTAACCATTGGCTGATAGCACATAATACCTTGGTCTTGTTTACTTTATATCAAGAGCAAGCTTTATATTTGGCGTTGCCAGCTAATCCTGTAGAACATGGGCACCTGGACATATTAATACTTGTCACTGGAGCTGTTTCCAAAGATCAAAGAAGTTTTTCAGAAATGGAAAACTCAGACAGTGCTGTCTTGATGGCTGGTGACATCAGAAATCTTCATTCCTTTTACATACTTGCCGCTGTTCCCAACTTCCTACATCTACGGAGCACATGAACTGCCATTACAAATCATCGAAAAAGAAGAGAACATCTTGCAATAAAAGCCACCCCAAAAAAAGCTAAACTGTCAAAAGCCGCCTTTTTCATCATAGTTACTAAGTAATTGTTTAATAAGGGAATAAATATGTGCTTGGACAGTCTTAAACGTGAATCAGAAGTCAGTATATGATGGATTTCCAACAATATTGGTCTAGAATTTTTCTGTCATTTTCCTGAACACACCCGTCCATTTATGGTATATCCCTGTGTATGTATTCCAAAAGAATCTCCTCAAAGGACTTGGCATGCGCTTGATGAGCTGCGCACACAGAGACTCTTGACCAATCAGAATCAATTAAATTGTCTCATATCCAGGTGCCAGCGCATGGTTTATGCAGTAAGCATTATCTCTTCTCGGTGGGCATTATCAAATGTTAACACACAGTCAAGTTGCAAGTTGTTGAATAAGGAGACTGAGGTATTTATGAATGTTGGTTAAATACCAGTACTGAGTGCCATAATTTAGAACTGATTCCAGACGTGAGCAATGGGGCTACTCAGATGCCAAGTACCGATGCCACTCCCCTAGCTTTAGTTCATAAGTTTGTTTTCTGGGATTCCTGTAGAGAGTTGGTTGCCTCACTTTTGCCTGTATCAAATGAGCACCTGTGTAAGATAAAAAAGAAAGTCGATCCCGATTGTTGCAGCATAATTTCATTATAGCGCCCTCTAAAGGTGAATTTGTGTGATCAGCGCACATACCAGAAACTTCTTTCCACGTGATTTTGCAAACGAACGATCCACGACAAGAGCAGCCTTTTCTGGCTAATTAAAACCCTAGGAATGCAACAGTTGGTAAGATTAGATAATTCTCCCATATCATAAATCACCGAAGAAAAGATAAAGGGGAAAAGGTCAGAAGGGGAATGGAGGAAGACGTTGCAACATTTGTAAATAATGAAGGATCATTGCTGGTTCTATGTATGTTCCATGTTCCGTGGAATTGCATGTGCAGTGTATTTACATGTATATTTATGGTCGTTTGGGTTCTACACAACGAACACACTAGGAACGTACATGAAGCTTAACAGAAATTATCAACTCTAAATGTAGATGGTCATTTCGAATGAACCACATAAATGGACACTCCGTAGGGTTGATATACATGTATTGTTTCTGGAAGTTTACATGTGTTTGTTGTCAGCAAATTGCAGTAAACCACTGACTCTGGACTTGTGTGTTGAGGGCTGCCATTAAGGGCAGAAAGTAAACAGCTTCTTCAGGCTTCAATTACGGCTGAGTTGTTTCCACGGAGTTCTTTGTCAGTGTGTTCACACTCGCATTTTTCCTCATGTAACTGAAGAGGTTACACCAATCACGTGATTCCATGTAATTATAAGCCATGCAGTGACACACTTTCCTCCCAGCTGGGTCCAGGGGGGCCGATGAATTTTGGCCTCCCCTCCTCCCCCAAATAATTGGGCCTAGATCCGTCCTTGAGCTCCACCCCATATTTTATCACCCTGTGTCATCTATTATGTTACATGGCAAGTCAGTATTTTTTTATTTTGTCACTGTGAACACTACCTTGTAACCCTTAACCTCTCCTGTCTTGTTCCTTGACTTATTTCCTGACTTTGGCTTTGATTTTGTGGCAGTAACTGTTCACTTCATGATCCCACACAGACTGTACTGGCTTGGTAGGATTATTTGACATATTTATAAGTGTTTACTTTTAAAAAGGGAATGGCAGATGGGTGACTTATCAATTACCTTACCAATCAACTTGATGCTGCACAGTCGCAGCAATTGGTGGTTTTGTGCAAGTGTTTCGCTTTAGCTTTTTATAATATTTGAGCCTGAAAAGTGAATAAATTACACGATATCAGCCTTGTGGTCAGTTTGATGGGGTACTTCTATTGAGTTCAGGTTAATTGAAAAAATGGGATATACAAAGTCAAAAGACTTGATTTTCTTACAAAAACTAAAAAACAAACATTACTATAAGCAATTTCAGAGTAACAAGTGATTAATGAATTAAAATGTTTCAGTGTAAGAAAAAGGACTTTAAAATAGAAAGAAAAGTGCACGAAAAGTGTCAGTAATTTGGGCATATTAAAAGACAGAAGGTGCAGTCAGTAGCATATGCTATTTAAAGTCAAGGTTCACGTGCGATTGAGGTCATCAGTTGATTGAGGTCATCAGTTGTTTTACTGTTCCAAGTTTATTTTTCACAGGCAACTGATGTGCATGAGTCATTCTGAGACCACCCATCGGCTGCTTGTCACATTGCATATTCGCCTGATAGAGCACTCCAAGACCCAGACTGACCAATCAGACTACATCTACCAGCCCGGCAACCAATCAGGTTGCACTGCCAGCCAGTTGACCACCGGGGCTGCTACCACTGCTAACCTGTCGGGCCCCACACCATCACCGAATCACAAGCCACAGCCTGTGTCAAAGGTCATCAGCATTGAGGAGGTGACAGAGACGAGAAAAAAGCTAGAGGTCGAGAAAGACGACGACGCCTTGGCAGACATGCCACCTCTGGAGATAGATGCAGCTCACGTGCTGCCAAAGTGAGAATGACCTTCTTGGCTTTTCAGTTTTAGCAGAGCTAGCAGGTTAAATATTGCCCAAAGAGTATTCCACACAAGGTATACGCCACGGTCATATGTGTGCATTTGAATATAGAAGTACACAGGAAGTTTCCATGGACTCTATTTTAGCCTCATGTATTTAACAAGGAACATATTTTGCAAAAGTTATCCACCTTCGAGAACCTCCATACAAGTAACAATCAGTAACTTGTTCAGCACTTTTTAACCCCTTGACAATGGGAATTTCTTCCCGAAAGCCGACTCCAAGAATTCCAGCCTCGCTTGGTCACTAAGGCCACCTGCCAAACCGCAAATTCTCGGTTTGTGGCCCTGCGTGCTCTGCACGCTTTGATTTACACAGTGAAAAGGCTCATTGTTCGGTGGCATGAGGCTCTACTCACCCTTCCACATTCCTGTTGCCTCTTTTCAAAGTGGGGACTGTTGTGAAGCTGGTGATTATGATGCGAAATCGGTCTTTTCATTTCTGGGCTTCGCACAAAGACCAATTACCATGTATACAAGAGCCAGGGTCTGCCTTCTTTCACCATGTTTGCTCGAGCGTGGGTCGAGAATAATTGCTGAAAAGCGGGCTGAGGATCTCAATTTTTACGGTGTGTCTAGCCGCCTCCCGGTGCGAAGGGGTTAAAGACAGTTTTGTCTTAAACGTTTGACTTTGTCCCTTGCTAATGTAATTCAATAAGTACTGTTGATCAAGAGCAAGAGAAGAAAGAATTCTAGGGCTTGTTTGAGCTGGACTCTGGAAACTTGATTGTACTCAAAGAGCAAAACCAACCTTAGAAGCTTGCGTCTCCATGTTGAAGAGCTTCTGTTGCTTGGAGTGTGCCAATTGAAAGACTCCAGGTGAAGGAAGAGAGTCAATGTGAGATATTTTAAGATCTTTGGGGGATTCATTTTATGCTATTTGCAGAGTGCATCCTAAGGTCCTGTGGTCCCAGCGCTCCAATTCGGTGGTCCTCAGTGTGCAGCTCCGAGGGGTCTTGACCTTTGACCTGGACGTGACCTCAACCAGTGTCAGTTTCAGGTGAGCCACCAGTACATTAAACTGCTTTTCTTTCTGCAGCCTTCAAAATCTGCCCTGAGGTGTTGAAGGATTGAGCCTGGGAATTTCATTTGACGTGTTGCTTGGATTGGTTTTCTACACGGTACCGGTTGTGGATTTTTGAAGGATTAGGGAAGGTTTCTCATGCAAACAGCCCCGAGAGTCAGCGTTGATGCGTTCTGTCCTCTCAGTGTGGGATTTAGAGATAGCTTTTACAGAGCAAAGATGGTCCTTGTGTGGGAACTTGGCATGTGGGTCCACAGCTTCGCATACATCTATTATGCTATGTGCTGGGCCCATGTAAGCAATTTCTATTGGAATATACAATCTTCTTGTACATGCCATGTGACCCTGTCGCTTAAAGGTTGCTTCAAGTCGAGGCATAGTTTTCCATCTCAAACTAGTTAATGAAAATCCAACTTTTGTTCCTTTCTACCTTTAACCTGTCTTCCTTTCCTTTGCCTGTTATTTCTCACATTTCTCTTCAATTCCAGCACCATACTGGACGAAACCAACTATACCTTCAGCTTGGACCTGTACAGCCGTGTCAGGACGCCAGAGCACACTGCGGTCACCTTGGGGAGCGAGGTGTTGATCACTCTGTACAAGGAGACCGTGGGAACCAGCTGGTCCCGTCTGACTGCCAGCAAGGCCAAGGTAGACTGATTGGTTTTTGTCTGCACGCCAGTGAACTGCATGGCTTGAGTGGTGTGGCTTTTGCGATGTGTCAGTGCAGGCTCAGAGTTGCCAATAAAAAGTTGCAGAGTTGTACAAGGGCTCCTTCTCTCGCTGTTCAGGTCTGCCGACAATGTCAAAGACTGGTGCAGGCTTGAAAGACTTTGGGATGCTAATACTAATGAATCCTCCGGGAGCCTGTAACTTTTTCACCACCTTTGTAATTGGGATTAAGAATCTTGGATGGCATGTTGAAACTCTGTGCTTTGAATAAAAACTCTCCTAGTTTTTCAGCTGTGTACAATTCCAAATTCTTCCAATTACTCTGCATAAAAAACTTCTGTGTGTATTACTTGGTCGTTCCTGTAGCTGTCATCAAAAAACTTGCATGCTCTGTCATTTAATGTATTCATAACTCCTAACCAAGTTTTTGTGTATGTGCTTTTTTTTTTAACGTATTTTGCAGTTGGCCTTTGTTGGTGTCGACTTTGAGCGATGGACATTAGAGGATACTGACTCGGATGACGACATCGCACAGCGGTTTGGCATCAAGAAGAAACCACGTGAGTGTTGCCATGGTAACAGGGCTCGTCGAGCAAAACTCTGAGCCATTCCATTTCTAAACTGCTTTCAGATTTCCCAAAGACTCCCCGACAAGTACAAAAAACAACAGCAAAATGTGAAGAGTCCAGAATGCAGTGATTGGTTTTGGGGGATTAAAAAAATAACTATCAGAAATTATTGCTCATTATAGGGTTTCTGTCATTACTCATTAAGTTTGTCTACATAAAATCATTTCAAGTTCTTTTGTTTTTTCCACTATTCAATTTTTCTTACAATGTGTATGTTCTCCCCTTAAATTTGTGCCTTTTAATCTTTTTGAACTTCGCAGCTCTACCTCATCGCCCCAAGACCCGACCCAGTCAGAGTGGCATCCCCATTGCCTCGGTCCCAGAGCTGGACACCTCAGAGAGCTCCGACTCCTACTTGGAGGTCTCAGATAGTGAGGAAGATGCAGAGTTTGGCTTTGCCAGTGACCATTCAGACACGGTCGACCAACCACCTTCCTCATAGTGTCCTGATACGGATGATTGGGGAATACTTCAAGTGTAGCTGCAGTGAATTTTTCTTTGGCGCAACTTCTCAGCAATTTGTTTGTACTCGTTCTCAGTGTGTGAAAACCACTTCACTGAGGGCGATGTTGCCGTGATGTCATCCAGGGAGACAAAACTCAGTGCATTGGTTTTTCTGTTCAAATTGTGAACCCAGAAGTTGCTTGCTGAAAATGTGTGAGAAAGGGACGGATGCTTGTTTATTGCCATTAGAGATGCCACCTTTCCGGAACAAAAAACAAAAACGGGAATACGTTTATTTTCACCTCGAATGCATCTCAAGTTCAATGACAGCCACGCACTGCGTTCACGCATGCATGTGAATGTGTAGCTCTGTCCCTTAGTAGCCTTAGTAGCCTTACAGGTCATCATTTCACAAAATTGGCTGATTACGGTGTATAATATTCATTGCAACTTACATTCCACTCACTTGTTTCATGTTTGAGTCAACTGCTTTGTGAAAATTCGAGGAAACAGTGCGACATTTTCAACACTTAAATTGAAGGAAATTTATCTTGCGTAAAATCTATGGGCGTTCCTAGTGCAAGGGAACAACATCTGCGGGGTCAGAGTGAGAAACAGACATGACAGGTGCTCATTTCCTTTAAGAAGGAGCAGTTTTCAACGGCTAGGAGTAATCAGTGAATTTACCTTGGAGTAACGTGCGTCCTCGACAATGTAGCATTGCAGATTCATGGAAAAACTTCATCCAGGAAAGCAGCAGTCAACTCTTGTTGTGACACCGAAATGGGCAGGTCTACATGGTAATACACGGTTTATTTTTAGCTGCATTTAGGTTTATCTGTTCATTAATGGAGACTCCCACAACATTTGCAAACACTACACAGAAGGAAATTGGTGCTTGTTAAAGGATGTGATGTGCGAAGTGAAATTAACTCTTTTACTATGGTTGGCCGACCGCCGTTATAAAAGAGAACAAAATTTTAGATTTTCTTGAAAACAGCAGCATTCTGGATGGAAATATTTTACAGACTGATTGAGACTGTTATGTACTTTCTTTCAAGTAAGATATTGCAGGATTATACGGTAGTCCGATATTCAGGATTTTACTGACAGTGTCCGCTATCTTTAACGACTTCCTGCCAGGGACTCCGGGATCGGAGACGTATGGTTTATATGGGTGGTCGGGGTCTCTGAACTCGGACAAAGGAAACAGGGCCCTGTAACAAAAGACTGTACTCTGAACAAAAGACCAGGCTGCTGGGCA